AATTAAAAGAATAATAGTCCTTTTCACAGATTCTGTGAGGTGTAGCGACTCGGTACAAACTAGGTTCCAAGCAAATTGAGTTCTTTTCTTTCAAATAAAAGAAAGAAGTAGACCTTCACGCAACTGCCAACACAACACAAGCCATAACAGTCCATTACATTTCAAAGCTATACTAGTGCAAGCGTTTTGCGCTATATTAAAGGCAGGCCAGTCAACCCTGAAATTAGTGAACGGACAACGCAATTTACGTATAATGTAATTTGCCAAGTAGATGGGCGGTGGTCATTATTGTGGCACAGATGGATATGGACTGGGCCGAATACGGCGGAAGATTGACATTGGGATCCAAGTTGGCATATATTTTTTCTATTATTCTTCCTAAGATATATCTTTTCTGATCACAGTGTTTAAACACAAACTCGCGCTCATATTATGACCTTTATTCAGTTGCAAACGCTGTACAACATTTACTGGCGCTCATATTATGACCTTTATTCAGTTGCAAACGCTGTACAACATTTACAAACTAACAAACATACAAACAAACAAACAAACAAAAAAATCTGAGTGCCAGTTGCATTTCGTATGTTGAGTTGGGATCACAGTATTCATTTATTCTGTGATCCCAGCAAAAGCTGCAAAAGTCTCAGATTGTAACTGTGGGGTCCGAAAATAATGATTACAACAACTGTTTAAGGCCACTGCTAGTGTGTTTATTGTTTGAAAGGGGGGATTGGGGGGGGGGGGGCAGTGCAAGGTGATTTGGGGTGCCGAATTGTCGAGTCGCCAGGATGTGGTATCTTTACATTAATATTTCGTTTTTATTTGACCCTCCAATGACCTTTGTTCTGTGTTGCAAACACATTCATAGCAAAAAACTGTTCTCAATATGTCTGTAAGGTTAAAGAGTCAAGACATGAATTTATATATCCATAAAAATAGAAAAAAGACTGTGAGCACCTGCAGTTCAGTACAACATTAAGGTCTCGTTGCTTGTTCGTCTATTTTTAAAAACATGAACCAATACCATTCCCTAAAGAACAAAAATTATTAACAAGAAGCGATTTCACAAACATTATTTTCATTTTTCCCTCATT